AGTAGATGCCCAAGGTGGCCCTATGTGCCGGAACTCTACTCAATCTCATGATCTTCAACCGTAAATGTTTCCCTAGCTGCTGAAAGCTTAGCAGTGATGAGTTTCATCCTTAGTTTCCCTCCTAAATTTGACTTTCAACTCTTATGTGTCTAGGACAAAAGTACACCCTAGAAGATCATTGAGAAATCATGCATCATTCGGGCGTGGTGGCTCACGCCTGTAATCCCAGCACTTTGGGAGGCCGAGGCAGACAGATCACCTGAGGTCAGGAGTTCGAGACCAGCCTGGCCAACATGGCGAAACCCCGTCTTTACTAAAAATACAAAAATTAGCTGGGCATGATGGCAGGTGGCTGTAATCCCAACTACTTGGGAGGCTGAGGCAGGAGAATCGCTTGAGCCTGGGAGGTGGAGGTTGCAGTGAGCCGAAATCACACCATTGTGCTCCAGCCTGAACAACAAGAGCAAAACTCCATCTAAAAAAAAGAAAAAGAAAAAGAAAAAGAAAAAATAAATCATTCATCAGTTAGTTTTAATGGCCTCTTGGTTTAGATATAAGCAAGATGACATTTTGACTATGTTTTTGTTCATGTTACATTTACTTTATTCCACTAGAGAGAAAAGAGCAAGACCTCCTTCTAGCTGTTAGACTTTCAGCTCCACCTGTGAAAATTGATTCACAAGTCTCCTTGTTGTTTTAATATCTGGTGGTGTACAATCAACTAAAAATCTTTGTAGGGGTATATATATACTTAAGGTGTGCAATATGATAAACTTTTGCATGTATGCACCTGTGAAACTATCACCACAATCAAAATAATGGACATTTAGATCACCCCAAAGTTTTTTTGTGTCCTTTGTTATCCATCTCTCCCTCCACCCTTTTCCCCAGGCAACCACTTATTGGCTTTATGTCACAGTAGATTAGTCTGAATTTTCTAGAATTTTATATAAATGGAAGCATGCCATATGTAGATTTTTGTCTGTCTTCTTTGACTTAGCAGAGTCATTTTGAAGTCCATAACACTGTTTTGCATCAATAGTTCATCCCTTTTTAGGACTGAGTAATATTCCATTGTGTATATATACCACAGGTGTATTATCCATTCATGTGTTTGTAGACACTTGGGACATTTGTACTTTTTAGCTATTTTCGAATAAAGCTGGTATGAACAACTTTGTACAGTTTTGGACAGAAGTTTTCATTTCTTTGTGATAAATGTCCAAGAGTCCAATTCCTCTTTTGGTAAGTATGGCTTTAACTTTTCAGAAAACTGCCACACTTTTTTCTTAAGTGGTTGCACAGTTTTACTTTCTCACCACCAGTATATGAGAATTGTAATTGCTCCACATTCTTTCTCAACACTTCTTGTGGGCAGAATTGTTTTAGCCATAGTAGTGGGTATGTAGTGGTATCTCATTGTGGCTTTAGTTTGCATTTTCCTGGTAACAGTGATGTTGAGCATCTTTTCATTTGCTTTTTGGCCACCTCTATTTTTTGTTGTGAAGTGTCTCTTGAAACTTTTTGCCCGCTTAAAAAATTGAATTTCAACCATTGTGGAAAGTAGTATGGCAATACCTCAAAGAGCTAAAAGCAGAACTACCATTCAACCCAGCAATCCCATTACTGGTTATATACTCAGAGGAATATAAATCATTCTACCATAAAGATGTATGCACTCAGATGTTCATTGCAGCACTATTCATAATAGCAAAGACGTGGAATCAACCTAAATGCTCATCAATGACAGATTGGATAAAGAAATGTGGTACAGGCTAGGTGCGGTGGCTCACACCTGTAATCCCAGAGTTTTGAAGGGCCAAGGCAGGAAGATCACTTGAGTCCAGGAGTTCGAGACCAACCTGGGCAACATGAAGAAACCCCATCTCTATAAAAAATATGAAAAATTAGCCAGGTATGATGGCAGTGCCTGTAGTCCCAGCTACTCAGGAGGCAGAGGTGGGAGAATCACCTGAGCCTGGAAGTCAGGGCTACAGTGAGCCCTGATCACACTGCTGAACTTTATCTTCTCTAGAGAATATGTAGTACTTTAGGTAACAAGGTTATATGTACAAGGCTAGAAAACAACTACTTATGGTGCATTATAAGTGCTTTATAGATAATGCATATTTTGGGAATTTTGAGCACCATCAAGATGTTTGTGTATTTAAGAAAATGTTTTACAATGGTGACATTGATTTCAATAAAAGGAAATGAGGCATTTCAATAAACATCGGTTACTATAAGTGAAACTTTTTCTCGTTCTTTCTTTTTTTTAATGCTTTACCACTTAAAAAAGAAGAGCAACTGATAGCTAATTTGGATTGTTACTTTTTCTAATTATAGATTGACAAGAAAGTGTACTTTTATCTGACTGTACTTAATTAGAGAATTTATGAGTTAGTTTTTGTAGTCAAAGCAGGATATAGTTCCAATAGAAAATAAATTGTTTATCCTATGCAATTTTTGATCAGATTACACAGCATTTTCTTAGAAAGGAACAAATCCATGTTATAATTTCCTTTTGAATGGTAAAAGAATCTCTTTAATTAAAAAGAATCTGCTTACGTCTGTCAGTGCTTTTAAAAAAACTTTATCTCGTGTTTTATTAATCTGGAATGACAAATTGGACCTGCATTTATTTTTATTTGCTCATCCTTTTCCAACAAATGCCATGACTCAGATGCTCATATTAAAATCTTTGGAAAGCCACATCTCATATGCCATTGTATGAGTGAAACTAAATACAAGTCTGTGCTCTTGGAAGTAAATTTTCTAATTAGTTCCCTGAATTCATGGAAAATAAATGGAGACACTTCACAGCAATTCAGAGCAAAAACTTCCTTTCTTGTGTCTTTAAACAGAATTAGAGATGATGCAGCAAAATCTGTGGTAATGCCATTAATAAACTTGCACCCTCACTACTACCCATTCCCTGGCTCCCATCCACTTCAAACAAATCTCTAGGGCAGTCGATTTCAAAGTAGGATCCCTAGACCAACAGCATGGGTCTTACCAAGGAAGCCATTCGAAATGCAAATTATCTGGCCCTACTCCACACCTGCTGAATCAGAAACTTAAATTGGAAGGCATGGATGGGAGTGGGGTGCAGCAATCTATGTTTTAACAAGCCTTCTAGGTGATTCTGAAGCAGACAAGTTTGAGAGCCACTGTTCTAGGGGAGTGAAGTAAAATTCATTTCTTGCAGCTTCAAGCTGAAAGGTTTATTACCAGGTTGCTGTAGCAACAACTGCACAGTAGGATTGGATAATGAAACATTGTGAAATTAAGAGGCATGAATATTAGCTGATCCCAATATTCTAGATTGCTGAAATTTATATTGGGCAAAATTGATTTTTACTTTTAGCCTTATGGCAAGAAGCATGGTTTCATAACATTTTATGTTTGACAAGTGGAAACCACAACTATTTTTTGAATACTACTCCTTTGGAATTTAGCCAAGTTTTTGTAGAAAAAGGGAATTACTCTTTAAGACATTCATCATGGAAATCAAAAGGTAGCATACTCAGCAGTGACTTATAACCCTGAAAGAGTTAGTTTTTAATTGAATATTTCTAATACATTGTAGTAGCTTTATTTGCCTACTATATGTTTCACAAAGCACAGTGCTATTCACCTAGTGGTATTAAGTAAACAATAAGAATTTTTTGTTAAACCCCTATTTGGTAATTATATGCCACAAAAATAGTTATTTTAAAAATATATTCATATTCTGCTTGCTTTCCTCTAGTGTGTGGTCTAAAATCCAGTACTTTCTGTATTCAAAGAATTAAATTCATGTTAGAGTTTGCATTTTATTGATATGTGCTAAGGATTAGATGCACTCAGTTAAGTTCCTTCCCAGCCAAATGACATATCCTGTCTCTGATGTCAGTCTGAGAAAATCCTGTATGGTGCACTACATCTCTGGATTACCTTATCTAAGTATTACATGGACATTTCAGATGATATGTCTTGGCATGTGGTCATTTTTCATTAACTTATTAGGAATTGTTAAAGCATCTTTTCCCCTTTTTGACACCTTGCTATAATTGAATGTAAAATTGACAATAAGACTGAATACTTGATATTCATGCAGTAAGTTGAGGGGACATCGTTGGTGTATAGCAGAAACCATGCCTAGATGGGTGTTTTAGGAAAAAGGGCTCTGTTGCTATCCGATGTGAGCTATGAAAAAATAATACCTATCCTCTGGCGTTTATTTTCCTCAACTATAAAAAGAAGGAATTTGTTGCATCATCTTTAAGGTTCTGAAAATTTTATAATTCTAAGATCTAGGGGGAAAGGAGAGGAAATCCAATCCACGAACCACTGCCAAGGTACAATATATGACTAAAAATTTTTAAGTATTTGTTGAAAAAAAAAATTAAATAGAATAATTAGCATAAAGTCAGCCTTGAAATCCTTTAAAATCAATGGAAAATAATGATATTAGGTACTGATGATTTAGAGTTTAAATTAACATGTTTTAGGAAAAATACTTTAGAAAAGTGCATTTGAACTTAATGCTTTTTTCTCAGAGTTTTCACATTGAATTATTTATTCTTAAATCCAATGTGTATGGAATACTTAGAAAAGCAAATAATTTTAATATTTTAAGCATAGGTACGCTCTGCAGATCATATATATTCTTCCTAGAAAAGAAATATCTTTTAAAGGACACCTCTCTACGCTTTATACTCCTCTGCACTCACTTATTTCATTACATTTTGTGAAACCTAAAATTGTAGCTATAAAGCTATTTTGGGCACACTTTTTCCAGAACCTTGTAAGAATCAACAGGAGCATAATTTTAAGCTACAGAAGTGCAAAATAAGCACAGAGTCCTAGCTACCATAAATAAAAGGCCAGAATTCTAACTTTGCAAAAACACATAATTACTACCAATGGGGGAGAGGGGAATGAGGACAAAAAGTAGAATTTTCTGGGGGATTTCTTCATACTTCTAAACGTTTTCTCTGAACTTTGTTTCTTCTCAGAGATGGAATTCTGTGAAACCTCTCACACTCTGTGCTCTGGCTACCAAACAGACATGCACAGCGTTTCTCGGCGTGATTACCAGCTCGAGATGGGATCTGATGTGGACACAGAGACAGAAGGTGCTGCCTCACCTGACCATGCACTAAGAATGTGGATAAGGGGCATGAAATCAGAGCATAGCTCCTGTTTGTCCAGCCGGGCCAACTCTGCATTATCCTTGACTGACACTGACCATGAAAGGAAGTCTGATGGGGAAAATGGTAATAAACTACTTTAATTGTTTAAGTGAAACACAGAAAAAATGCAATTTTTAGCCTTTGCTTTGTTCTCCTTCCCTATATCTGCCCTTCTTTCATTTAATATGCAGAATGGAAATACAAGTTAGCAGGGACTCATGGGCAAGGCACATACCTAAGTATCTGGCAAATAGATATTTATTTATAATAACAGACAAAATACTTTACATTTTTCGGTGAGCCCCCAAGGGAAATAATCTCATGTAATCAGTAATATTGTGCATGTTTTGTTTATTACTCACCTTTTATTTTCATCTTTATTTTCCATGGCAATACTAGTAGAATTTATTATAGAATGTCCAAATTTCATGTATTTGGGCTTTATATCAATAAATGAACAGTGAGATGAACAATTGTATAGCAAGCATATTCTGTATGTGCTTACTATTTGGATTCAGATTAACCTGTTGAATGTACAAACTCAAATTAACCAGGTTGGACTGAAATGATTTAAAAAACCAGAAGGTGAATGAACATCATCCATTTGCTTGACAATAAGGACTAGCAGCAGCATTGTGTTGTAAGCATATATGATTTTCTTGCAACTTTTATAAAAGGAAAATTTTGTCTTTTTGATTTGTTGGAAAGGGGTTAATTTATTTTATTTTTGTTCTTTTGCTCCTACCAGAGAACAAAATAGTTTCATAAAAAGCACATTACTGCTTATTAAACACATTCATCTAGTCTCTCCATCATTCTGTTTGTGTACATTTTATAGGTCCTCATTACCATGACCACAAGGCTTAGTCTGTTAGCAGTGGTAATTAGTACTTTTTCAGGTGGCAGAGAGATAGCCAGCTGCCCTGTACCTGCAGTTTTTTTTTCTATTTTGTCCTCTTCTTCCTTCTTTAACCCAAACGTGACACTGGCCATATAATCAGGAATTAGAAGTTGCCTACTAATTAGAATATCACTTCCTAAATAATAGACCATAACACTTTATGGTATCATCAAGTATCCTTGGGGTCTTAATATTTTTTATATTTTTTTCATATATGTATGTGTTCATGTATGCATTGTTGACTTTGGCCAAGAGTATAGGAAATAACATATGGAAATGAGAAGGGAACATACTTGACATATGTAGCACATTCATGGAAGTGAAAGGCATTAGGATAGAAGTTAGGAGACATTTGATTGGTCACTACAGTTTTCTGGGTTTCATCTTTCAATTGGGAAAAACAATGATCAAAATTATAATGGGATGGTAGGTGATCTCTTATATTGGCAAGACATCTTGTTCTCCCTCATCTCACTCTGGACATATTCACTGGGTTGAAACATTGAAATGAAAGGAAGAAGTTTCCCCACTGGGCTCTACTATTCTTTTACCTCTGCAAGTCCCTTGGTATGAGGTGTCTTTTGGGGTGATGAAAATATTCTAGACTTAGATAGATGTGATGGTTGTGCAACTCTGCAGAAATACTAAAAACCACTGAACTGTATGCTTTAAAAGGATGAATATTACATATGTGAATTATATTGCAATAAAGCTGGGTTTTTTTTTTTTGAAGCACCACTAGATGAAGGGTAAGGGTTGAAGTTTGAGGAATTGCAGATGACTTGGACAAGGCTTAACTAGTAAAATGTTTACTGTTACAGGTTTCAAATTCTCTCCTGTTTGTTGTGACATGGAGGCTCAAGCTGGGTCTACTCAAGGCAAGTGTTTTCAAATATTTGATCACCAATTATTTTTACTTCACCCCATCTCTGGCACCCTACCTCCACAAAATGGAACCCTGCTCCTCTGACAAACAACATACAAGCCTGCTCAATGAACCTGTCGGAGAATACAGTGGCAGCTTATTTGTTTGTTTTCTTCTTGAAAATTTCATTTGTAAATGTTGGTGGTGAAGAGGAGGTCAAGGGGGAGCTAGGGAGAAGGATAAAACAGGATTCCAGGTAGGATGAGAAAACATTTCTTTAACCTGGGAGGAGAGACTGAAATCAGGATGGGTTGGATTTGGCCTTATGACTTTCTACATATATACCATGTTTGGCATGGCTCTAATAATTAACTCAGTATAGTTTAGGGATTGTCATAACTTTCAGATGTTGCCTAGCAGTTGGCCTTGGTCTCTTCCTCCAGGTGTTCATGCTTGGCTTTAGCATCACACTTTATCCATGTCATCAATCATAAATAACACCTTCAAATGAAAAAAAAATGTTGTTCATCCTCTTCTGTAAACCTATATTTACACTGTGTCATTCCTTAGTAAGGGGGCATTGGTGTTTTGTTCTTTTTTTTTTACTTTTGCCTTCATTGTATTCATTGGGTTTTGCCCCTTTGGAGAGGGATACTACTGAAAGTAACATTTATAAATGGTTTTCACAACCCGGTCTGTGCTGGGGGCCTTTCTCTAACACCTTGTAGTAGGGTCCACACATCCCACCACAGGGCAATGACTCAAAAATGAGATGAAACTAGTATATAAAGATTTAGAACAGTGTTTTTAACATGTAGGAACAATATGAATGTTCACTATTATTACTGGATTAGCATTTCAAAATTTCCAAACACACTTTTCATATCTTTATGCCATTTCATCTTCATGACCATTCTGTGAAACAAATTCTGTTATCTCCATTTTAGATATGAGGAAGTGTTAAAACAACAAGTCAGAAACAATCTAGCTGAATTTCACTGGATTATTTCCCAAATATGCTTCGTTTTCTCCCTTGGATCATGTGTGTATGCAATATGTAAACTTGAACAACTTTTCCTGCTCAGTTCTCTATGTCTTACTTTGACTCCTACTAATATTTTCAATAAGGAGTATATAATTTGGGTTCTTATTTATCACCTATGGTAAGATTTTTATCAATGTGGATTCCACAGATTTTAATTGATGACAACCATGCCTGGCCTGCCTTCAGCATTTCCATAGATCCTTGAGGAGTTGGTTTGAGTTAAGATAAGAATGTAAATGACTTTTCCAAAAGTATGTTAATTTTGAGGAAACAAGGTATTTCCAATGAATGAACTTGACGTTTGTGTGGAAATGTTGCTATTTATTTCCTATTGATTTCATCCATTCATGAAAGCATGCTAATCAAGGCATCTATTTTATTAATTTGAGTTGATGTATGTTATATTTGAAAAAGTAAATCTTTAGAATATTTGTTATGTATATGTTTTCCTACCTCAGACTCCATACCATCCCATCCCTGTGGCTCAATTAATGTCAATGACATTTTGTTTTGTTTCTGTCTTCCTATACTTTCTGAATTTTAGATTATTGATGAGACAATGGGCATGATATCATGGATCGGCTTAGGAACATTTGAGCCTCACTGCTGTGAATGTTAGATAAAAGTTAAGATGGAGGAAATTGAGGAAATTGTTAATTTAGGTGAATTGTCCAACTGAGAAATATTCTGAGAAGTAATTTCAAAGATGCTTACTATTCTATTCATCCTAGGAGAATATGACTTTGGTTTTCTACTTACATTTCCAAAATCATGTCTATAAGGACTTGTTTCTTTTATTTCATTAATTGGCCAAGCCTTTCAGAATTTTTTTTCTCATTTCCTTAACTCTATTTGGTTGCCCTTAATTGAATTTATGTCTCTGACATTTTATAACTCATGAAGAATTATAAGAAATAACCCTTAATTTCAGCACTAAAATATTTGAACTTAAAGGCCTGAAGTACTGGAAAGGAAACCATCAGGTGACAGAAGGGGATCTGGAGGCTTTCACAGGGATCAGAGCACTAATGCATTATGTTTCCATTCTCTCAAATTTGTCCTAAGTAAACCCTTCATCATCTGTTGATGCTGAATTGTCTATTAAGAAAGATGCACATTCACTCAAGTTAGCTTCATTCTGGGACCTGTGAACAGTCAATACCTAGGTGATACTTTGATATCAACCATCATGCTTTATTCTACGTCATTTTTATTCCCATTTCACCTTACTAACAGCATTACTACTCATCATAGGCTAATACTAGAGTTGTGTATTTTATATCCTAACAATGGTTGTTAATAAGCACTAGACTGGAAGCTACTTGATGAAATGGTCTAATTTATTCACTTTTGTAGCTTCAATACTTAGCAAGGGGACCTAGAGCACAGTAGGCACTAAATAAATGAAAAATATGTATTGTTCTAAGGGTAAAATATATTTTTTGTCGATCTTGTCTTGTGTGACTCTCATAAGTATAGAAGTGCTATAGTGTGTCAGACCTCTGGTCATCTAACACACAACTCTATCTCTGATAGGTGATCTAATGGTAATTTAATTTTTTTATCTTTAGTTATGGATACATAATAGGTGTACATATTTATGGGTACATGTGATTTTTTTGTTTTGTTTTGTTTTGACAGAGTCTCCCTCTGTAGCCAGGCTGGAGTGCAGTGGTGCGATCTCGGCTCACTGCAACCTCCGCCTCCTAGGTTCAAGTGATTCTCCTGTCTCAGCCTCCCAAGTAACTGGGGCTACGGTGCGCACCACCACACCCAGCTAACTTCTGTATTTTTAGTAGAGATAGGGTTTCACCATGTTGGCCAGGATGGTCTCAATCTCTTGACCTCGTGATCCGCCTGCCTCGGCCTCCCAAAGTGCTGGGCTTACAGTATGTGATGTTTTGATACAGGCATACAATGTGTAATCAGGGTAATTAGGGTACCATCACCTCAAGCATTTATCATTTCTTTGTTAGGAACATTCCAATTCCAATATTTTAATTATTTTAAAATATATGATAAGTTAACATTGACTACAGTCACCCTGTTGTGCTATCAAATACTAGATCTTATTCATTCTATCTAACTATATTTTTGCACCTATTAACCATGCCTACCTTTTCCCCCATTTCCCTCTACCCTTTTTAGCCCCTGGTAACCATTCTTCTATTCTCTATCTCCATAAGTACAATTGTTTTGATTTTTAGTTCCCACAAATCAGTAAGAAGATGATGTTTGTCTTTCTGTGCCTGACTTGTTTCACTTGACCTAATATCCTCCAATTCCATTCATGTTGCAAATGACAAGATTTCATTCTTTTAATGGCTGAATAATATTATATTATATATATGTACTACATTGTCTTTATCCATTCATCTGTTGATGGTTGACATTTAGGTTGCTTCCATGTCTTGGCTATTGTAAATAGTGCTATGATATATTTCCTTCCTTTTGTATATATACATAGCAGTGGGATTGCTAGAGCATATGGTAGTTCTATTTTTAGTTTTTTTAGGGTGCCTCCATACTGCTCTTCATGATGACTGTAGTAAATTACATTCCCACCAACGGTATATAAGGGTTTTCATTTCTCCACATCCTTGCCAACATTTGTTATTGCCTGTCTTTTGGGTAAAAGCCATTGTAACTGGGGTGAGATGATATTGTAGTTTTGATTTGCATTTCTCTGATGGTTAATGATGTTGCGCATTTTGTCATATATCTGTTGGCCATTCATGTGTCTTCTTTTGAGAAATGTCTATTCTTTTGCCCATTTTAAAATCAGATTATTTGATTTTTTTCCTATTGAATTGTTTGAGCTTCTTACATATTCTGGTATTAATCCCTTGTCAGATGGGTAGTTTGCAAATATTTTCTCCCATTCTTTACTTTCTAATGAGCATTTCTTAGAAGACTTTGACAGCCCTACTTAAGTATCAACCTCAGTGATTAGGGTATCCCTCAATAATTACATTTAGCTATACATTGAACTGGAGGAAAAAACAGTATCAACAGCTAAATTTGAATAATCAATTTCCAAGAATATGTTTTTCACATGTGGCCTGAATGGAACAGTTGGGTTATAAAATGTGAAAATAAAAATTGTTTACCAAGAAGCTAAATGGAAATAAATTTTGTAGGTAGTGAAAAAGTATTGTAACCTTTAATAAAGTATAAATTGCAAATAAATTATTTATAGTTATAGCCTTGATGATAATGATATTTCTGTTCAAGCAATATTTATTAAGCACCTTCTTTCTGCCAAACTCTGTACTAGAGATTGGGAGTATATGAAAGATGAATAATACACACTCCCCAACCTCAAGGAATTTACAGTCTCCTGGGAGAGATTGATGCCCTATTAGTTAAGATTGCTTGTTATAGGTAGCAGAAATCAATGTGAGCTAGCTTAAACTGAAAACAATTGTATTAAAAGTACATAAGAATACAGGGTGACTGTAGTCAGTAATAGTCTAATTGTACATTTTAACATAACTAAAAGAGTAAAATACGATCATTTGTAATACAAAGGATAAATGCTTGAGAGGATGGATACCTCATTTTATATGATATGATTAATATGCATTGCAGGCTTATATCAAAACATCTCATGTACCCCATAAATATGTATACCTACTAGGTACCCACAAGAAATAAAAATTTTTAAAAAATAAAGTACATGAGAATGCTTCATTGGACTCAGGGCAAGAGTGTGGCTATACCACAAGAAGGGACTTGTTGCAGTCCCTTAACAATTTTCAGAAGAATTGTTAAGACATTGCTTTTTGTTTCTAAACCCATTTCCTTCAACGCCGTCTCTGCAGGTTGACTTTCTCTAAGTTTCCATCTACGAGACAAGTATAAAACCCCATACCCCATAAAACCCTAGTTCACATTTCTTCTATTCAGGAAATAAGCTAAGATTAACCAGATTTTTTTAGTGCCATTTCTAAATTCCAAGGAGACAGAATATTTTTCTCAACTTGAGTCAGCTGTCTCCTCAGCTCACGGGTTCCTCAACTACAATGAGGAGTAAGGTCAGTAATAAAAATGTTGCTTTCTGGGAGCCTACACATTTGATACTCAAAGCAATTCCCAATGCAGGGCTGTCAGTGTCAAATGGAAACATACACTCAAAGAGGTCTACTAGAGAGGATTGAAAGCTAATTTTAATACATTTTAGTTAATACCATGATAAAGATATGGTAGCTTGCTCTGAGAGCACAAGGGATGTGAAACCATTTATTAACGTAAAAGTGGTAATATTAATACAATCTAAATAAATAATGTTTTTTGTATAGTAAATGTTTAAGAATAACCATGATATAAGACAGACCTAGGTTTTTGCGCTGGTTCTGCCATTTACCTGCTGTATGTCCTTGGACAGGTAACTAAAGATCTCCAAGTCTTAATTTCTTTATCTGTCAAATGGTAGCTGCAAAGTCTTGGGAGTTTTTGTGGGAGGATTAAATGAGAAATTGGATATATAGCACTTTACAGTGTGTCTGTTACAATGAAATGCTCTATAAATGTCAGTTGTGGTTGTTGTTTATCACTATTAATTTATTATACACATATTATGGGATAGATGCTATCAGGTAAGGTACCTGTTATCAAGTATTAGACAAAGAGGCAACATAGCTTCTGAAACATCTAATATCCCAGGGAACTCTTTAGCCTAGCAGAACCCAGCCTACTTTCTGCTCATTTCAAATTGGGTAAAAATCCTTGCACTTGTCTTATTTTAAATAATACAACATTTTATTAATAGGCAACAACCTCATTCTGCTAAACCTAGAAGACTGTGAGAGGAAATTCACTGAGACACTTCAGACCTGGCTGCGGGTTAGCTTGTGCTTTTGTATTTCCCCTTGTCATTGAAGTAGCCCTTTAAGGGAGAGCTGGGATTTTAATTAGTACTCAGAAGCCCTGTTGATTTCCTTGACTGTTGGGTAGCTGAGCTCCCTATGTTCTGTTCAGGAACTTTACAGGTAGGGGAATATCTGATACAATCTCATAACAGCCAAGAAATCCATTAGTACTGCTCCCTGTTGCTTCTGTACTGCATACCACAGAACCTAAGTAGTGCGATATGTGCTACCAATAAACATGTCATCATAGTCATGCATATGCTGTTCTCAGACCCTAAATTCATTCAAGGAAACAGCTGGAGTTGTGAAAAAAATGGTTAGCCTAATGCTGGGTTTCTTGAATGGCAGGTA